TATATATATATCATAGCTGTATTACACTGTATGCTATATACAGCTAAAGATAAAATATATTCTCATTGATTGATTCTCATATGTCTTAAAACAACACCAAGCATGAACCAAGTTGATGACATAAAAGAGGAGAGCGATAGAAGTTGACAAATTAAAGACGAAAGAGATGAGATCATCTCTTCCTCTTATCTCAAAAAGCAGCGGCGAGCTCCTTGCCCATGTTGATTAAAGTGAAGCCCACACTGAATCAAATCCACATCACATATTCATACACACATCACCTAAGAGAATGCGCTGTGAAAAGCCTGTGCGTATGTGGGTGCGTGGGGGCCTTGAGTAGAAAGAGGCCTTAAGTAAGCCTGTTTAAAAAATTTATGGCTAGTACAGATGAAGAAACAGGCCGCACATTCAGCATAGCCAGCATGTGTGCATAATTCACTCAATCCCTAATTGAAGCCGCACAAATATGCAAATGGCACATCCTAAGTGTCTCACTTGTGCCTCAGTGACACAAGACGGGCGTTACGATGGTAAAAATGGATCCATGCTGTGATCCATGTCAAATTAAATAAAATATAAATTACATTGGGCACATGCTCGCCTAAAGCGACTCTGTTCTGTGGAGGTTTCCAAAATAAAGGTTCCTCTAATGCTCCGAGGTCTGTAATCAGAGGAGTGACTCACCAAACCCACTTTGGACACACAGTAGAAACCGAATGTGCTCTGGAAAAGAAAGATAAAGACAGAGAGAGTGGAAGGGCCCTAGGCTTCATCTAAAATAGGACGTCAGCGCGGTCGTCATGCTGCTTCTGTACAAGGATGTGAGTCAGCGGCACACTCTAACAGAGGCCACTCTCATTGATTATTCATTTGTGCCTCAATTTTTCAGACTGCATTTCCATTTCTGAGAGCGGCGGGCGCTATGGTGTCGGCGCGATAAGCCCCAAACGGCCACATTGTAATGTGATTAACCGTTGGCTGTATTGGCATCACCGGCAACGTCCACCGGCACAGAGGTTTGCTGAAGGGTCGTACGAGTTTGACAATATATGTGACCTGTGCTGGCAAAATGAGTCGCAATAGGCACATTTTCAAAAATAAGTTATTTTTATTTTCACAATCCCCATAAAAGAAAAACTTCAAAATGATGTATGATTTGTTGAAACCGATCAAGAAATGACCGCGCTACACCCGTTTGAATCTGATAGAGTCAGCAAAGTCAAATTTGAGAAAAATCGAGTTAAAGTTTTCTGAAGGTTCCAAAGCAAAATCACTTAGCAATGTTGCATCTTTTCCTCTACTTCTTTTCTTAATCATAATTATTATATTAATAATCCCCAAATAGTTATTTTTTATTTTATATCATGGTTTCCACAAAAATATTAAGCAGCACTGATACTATACTATATACTGATATACAGCATATCCTGTATGATGGAGGATGTGTACAGGTGCTGATATTGTCCTTCAGGTTGTGATCATAGGTTGTAACCTGTCAGTGTAAATACTGTATAAGTTAGTGGTGTTTCCAACAAAGAGTACCATATCATTCAAGACTTTGATTGTGTGGAGTCGGGGGGCCCTTACGAGACTTTGTGCCCAGGGGCCTCTGAATTCTTAATCTGAGCCTGCAAACGGCCCGCTCCAGTCCTAACTTGCTCCGACGCCGGCTGTAAACTCTTCCACGAAGCTGTGTACTCTCCAGCGGTGAACTCTGAATCTTGCGGGGACTCAGAGTGCTATCTGGGCTGCGACGCTTCTCCTGTAACAACCGGCTTCCGTCTGAATGTAAACAGTGTTGCGTGCGTGACACTTAGTTCATAAAACTCGCTTGAAATACTCAAATCAGACATCGATCTACATGAGAAATACTATTAAAACACTGGCAGATGAATTCTTGGCGAAAACACCCACTTTATCACAAAATAGTAATTTAAAGACTGCAACAACCACGGAGTAAAACAACCTCGCGTCCCTTTCTCTCTCAATCCTTCAGCGGATCTTCTTAAAAGAATCTTAATCCACCAATCAGAATGCACTAGCTCATAAAGGGGGTGGGACCATAACTTTTACAAGCCAAACAAAACCAATGATTTTGCTTAACCATATTTGCATACCAAAAATTATAAATACAGGTGAACACTTTTAAAAATAAACACAGTAACAAACTCAACCTTGAACGTTTATGATCAAAATGTGCATGAATGAATCCCTTTGTCAATAATTGACAGGTTGTATTAATCCAAGTTTACCCATATTTTACATATGCATTTATGAATGTAAGCAGTCATGATGTTTTGTTTACAATTAAAATAACAGTATAATTTCCAGATGTTATTGGAATTTTTCTTTGTACAGAAAGCACTTGATTGAAAAAATGAAACAACACAGTTCAAAAGCAGTAAGATCTTCTAATTTAGTTTTCGGAAGAAAAGTCTCTTGTGCTTACCAAGGCTGCATTTATTTGATCAAAAATACAGTAAAACGTGTTGTATGAAATATTACAGTTTAAACTATTACCATTTAAATAACTTTTTTTACTATTTGAATATACTGTAGAATGGTTTTAACAGTTTTAATATTTCGAAACTCATTCTCGAAACTCATAAATCATTATTCCAGTCTTCAGTGTCACATGATCCGTCAGAAATCAATCTAATATGCCGATTTTCTGCTCAAGAAACATTTCTTATTATTACCAATGTTTAAAATATTGAATTATATGGTACTGAATGTCTCTCTCCAGGTTGTCCAGACCTCCTTGACATGAGTCAACATCCTCGTTAGACCTTGGCTTCAGTGACCTGAAAATGATCGCACACCCTGGGAACACCATAACTGCGGGCACGCTCTCTGAACAGGAAAGAGAAATAACTCCCTGCTGCTCTGCGACGTTCAGCTAACGATCTGTGTGTGAGTGATTTGTAATTACAAAAAGATGAAGTAGTTGCGAAGCATTCGGATGTGGATGTGCCGGCCTGCTGGCAGCTGGCTATTTTGGGGGAGGGTGACATATTGCGCTCTGACAATCCCGTGCAGCTTTGTATACTTTTATTTCAGATGCTATCAGCTAGCAGAATCAAAACAGATGGTTTAGTCGAGGGAAATAAGTTACGATTTCAATTCTTAATCAATAAAGAGTGAGTGTGTCCTGTCTGAGACACCATGTGCAGGACGGAGGGTGAGACGGAGGCAGGACAGAGGTGAAAGAGATTTGCACTGTTGTGCCTAACGAAGCATGGATACCGCACTCTTCCTTTCTACCGAACCTCCTGGAGCTGAGGCACCTGCGCTTCCCCTTTCTCTCTATCTATTGGTTTAGTGTTTTTTCTTTCACTCTCTCTCAAACACACAATCCTAAAATAATTATGATTAAAATAGAAAGTGTTTTATAGCCTGATTACATTGGAGGGCCTTTTAAAGTTTCTCATGTGACTTTTATTCTCTAGTTCTTTAGAAAATCAGCTGGTGATTTCAGAGGCATCATGCACCTGTTTTTTTGTTTGAAGTGGCAGTTCTGGTTCACTTGGTGCTCTAGGCAAGATAAGACATGACCAAAGGAAGGGAAAAAAAAAACTTTTTAACAACTTAGTAGTTATTTATTTAAGTGTAAGATATGTTAGTCTAGAACTGCAGATGACATTTAAGACGTGCAAGGGGACCCGAATGGTTAGGATAGCAAAATAAAACTTTAAAAGGTAAGAAAATACACTACACCAAATCTTTTGTTGTTGATGTCCAATCAAACTAGCATTTAGTATTTTGATAATCAAGTATGTTGATGCAAATTCATGTTTACAAAATAAATAAATTAAATAAATAAGTAAATCAAAAGTGTAAACCAGTTTAACCAATGTTATTTAATTTTATTTATGCAATATTTAAGTATTTATTAATATTTTGAATCAGCTTTTATTGTTATGTTTTCATTTTCATTTTAGTTTAAGTTTAAGTAATTTTGTTAACTTCAACTTATTTTATTTCAGTTAGTTGCTAAGGCAACATTTGTAATTGTCTCATTTTTAAGTTTTTCATCTAATATTTCTATTTTATTTCATCTTTATTTCAATTAGCAAAAACACTTGTTAATGGTTTTAATTAATAATGACAACACTGAAATTAAATGAAAGGAATGAAAGAGTCATGAAAGAGTCAAACCAGTGCCAGTTTAGTATTATACATATAATATTATAGTGTTTATTAATATTTTAGAATGAGCTTTTATTACTATATTTTAAATTTCCATTTTCATTTTAGTTTAAGCCTTATTAGTTTTGTCATTTTTTATAAATATTTATATTTAGGTATAATTTATTATTATTATTATTACCATCATCATCATCATCATCATTATTATTTTAGTACTTCAACTTAAATTTATTTATTTATTTTACAGTTTGTTACCAAGGCAACATTTCTAATTTTCTCGTTTTTAAGTTTAGGGTTTTCATCAAATATTTATATTTTATTTTATTTCATCTTTAGTTCAATTTCCAAAAACAATTTTAATAGTTTTAGTTAACAATTAACAACACTGGAAACAAATAAATAAACAAACAAATAGTGTATAAGACATACACCTTTGTATCACAAAATCTAAAACAACATTTTGGATCTAATTTCTTCTATGTCAGTACCTAATTATTATCTCAACACACAGACTGGATTCTTATGTGCTAGTAAATAAACACTAATAGGCCTAAATGTGTTTTTCAAAACTTGTACATTTTGAATCTGATTTCAAATGATAATGTTCTCCAATCCTGAACCTGTAACAATTGTTCTCTCTGATCTTCCACTTGCACTCAAAGGTACTTCTTGTTCTTTCTCAGTGTGACACCTCCTGACTGATGCTAGACAGCGAGTTACTCTTCAGTCTGAACCTAACGACTAAAGCGCAGTCATGCTGATATCTCAACAGGACAGCTCTGGGCATCTTTAGAAAGTTGTATGTGGGCCCAGGCTGACAGCCAGTGGGTGTTGTGACTGAGTTCACTCACGGACAGGAGTCGGTTCTTCTCTTTCTCGGAGAAGCTCTGTGTGTTCTCCAGAGCTGCCCGGTGCTTCCTGGAGATCTCGTCCAACGCCCAGCTGTGGGCATCCTTAAAGTGAGCAGTGTCCTCTTCATATTTGGCACGCAAGTTCATGAGCTCCTTCTCATAGATCTGCTTTTCTTCTCGAAGTGACTGTTGAGGGGAAAAAAGACAAATGTATTTAAAAGGTGGTCTGATGCTTATATAAAAAAGCTAGTTATTCAACAAAGGTAAAGGTTTGTTAAGTGGTTTCAATGAATGGTCTTTTTGGACTGAGAAGGAAGCTTTGAGTTCTGAAAGTTTTCATAGGAAATTTTGACTCATTAAATAAACTTTAAAGGGGTCATATGATGCGATTTCAAGTTTTCCTTTCTCTTTGGAGTGTTACAAGCTGATTGTGCATAAATACACAAAATAATGATCTTTAAAAAAGCATCATATGACCCCTTTAATATAATTTAGATAAACACTTTTCATTTAAAAAATGAAATCAGTGCACAACAGTATTATGAAGTCCTTTTTTGCATTCACATAGATAAACATGACGCAAAACGAAAAGCCAGCCTGTGAAAGTTGGTTTGTATGAGAGTATGGTTTGCAAACGGGCATCAATAAAGGACACTGTCTCTTGTTCAGAAATGTTATGAATCCAATCTAAAAGTATAACAGTGAAAGCTGAAAGACACTTTCAAAGCCCACACTGCCACTGTGAAGCAGATGGCCACAGGTAAATAAACTTCCCATTATAGGACCAGCAGAAGTGTCGGCAGAGCGAATCACTCCACAATGCTTTCCCGCTCTATTTGGGGAGCGCTGTCATAGTAACACCTAACTCAAGGCTGTGCTGCTAACAAACTGTGATGTGGGCGACAGAAAGAAACGGAGAAAAAGCTTGATGAGACCTTTTCAAATGGGAATTATATTCAAGCATAGCAGCAGTCCTAAGAGTGTGCCAATAATAGCATGGTATTTTGTATATTCTACATACTACATTTTTGACAAATTGGTTTTAGAAGTGCTAAATTTAGATTCCAGCTGACCCCAATCTGACGTGTTTATTAGGTTAATGTTCACAGAGGACTTGTGTTTCGACAACAGATATATGGAAAGCAAGTGAAAGAGATGATAGGAGTCTTCCGAAAAATATATAAATAAACACAAAATAGGCCTGAATTTAAGCTTTATGCATTTGAATTGCATGAAAAAATTAATATAATTGCATATAATACATCGTTAACTTAATGTAATATTTATCAGGTTTATATATTTATCATCTCTAAATCCGATTTCCGTCAATCTCATACATTTGAACTAACTTAACCAACACAGGAATAAAATTTAATTTCATTAAAAAATATATCCAAATAGAAAACAGTTATTTTAAATTGTTGTTTTTAATATGGTGCAATAAAAACTTGTGCCCCCAAAGCATATCATTGCATTGGTATAAAATTAACCAAATGCTAACTAATTAGCATTTGCAAAATGAATTAATATAATAATAATAAAATAAAAAAATAGAACATGAGCTTAGAACATCACTTTTCAGAGTCATTTTTACAATATAAAACCAACTAGCAGCATGCTTGGGATATTTGACAACCACAAACTGTCCAAACAAAAATAAAAAATGTTTTACCGTTTCCACAAAAATGAATAATAATAAAAAATGTCTCTTGAGCAGCTGACCAGCATATTAGAATGATTTCTGCATCACAGGAATTAATTACATTTTAAAATACACTGAAATAGAAAACTGTTCTTTTAAATTGTTCTTTTTAATATGGTACAATACAAATCATGCTGCCCAAAAATAGTTGGACACTAAAAATGTCACTGAGATATAAAATATCAAACTAAGTGGCATCTGCCAAAAAAAAAGAAAAGAAAAAACTCATCGGTTACACTTTACTTGAAGGGGTGTGCATAAGACTGACATGACACCTTCATAATCATGACATGACCTTAATTTTTCTGAGTCATTTTTGCTGTATAAAACCAACTAGCATCATGCTTGTGATGTTTGACAACCAGAAAGTATCCAAAGAATTCTAAAAAAAAAAAGTTGGTTGTGATTCAAAGTGTCCAAACACTCCCAGCAGGCCTAAACTGGATTTAAAACTGGATGGGATTGATCCGTACCTTCTCCAGGGAGAGGATCTGCTGTCTCTGCCTCTCGTCCAGCATCTGACTTTTCTTCTGCAGCGCCCCTCTTTCCTCCTCCAGACGCAACACCTTGTCCTTCAGACGAGACTTTTCCGATTCCAGATCCCGAATGACCGCCTCGTGAGTCATCTGGGTGGCCTGCAGGCTTCCGATCTGACCTGGACGGCAGAGAGAAAGACAAAGACAGGACTGTAGCAGTGGGTCAATGCTTTGAATGTCATCTAACGCAGAGAGCAGACAGAGTCAAAGATCCTTTCGAACTGCCAATAGTGTGAACCTGAACACTGCAAATAAACCTCAACTATCACCAGGATTGTTCAACAGTTTGCTTACCCTGCACCAGATTTAATGTGTCTTGAAGGTCCATGTTAATAATAGAATAATAGCACACTTACTGTATACTGCACAGTACATGCTGTATACTGCATATTATTTATAAAAAATAGCACGTTGAATAGTATATAAAATTGATTATGATATGTGATAATGCTGCATGTTTAATTCAGCAATTTCAGTTGTCACCTCAGAAATAAAATTTGTTATTTAGTATTTTATTTCCAATTAAACTTTTTTTTTTTTGGCAACATTAAATTGATCAAGAAGTGTTGTTATTGTCTAAAACCGAAACAGTTTTTGTTAATTGAAATAAATCTAAATAAATAATAAATAAAATATAAATATTCAAAGAAAGCTTAAAATGTAAAAAAAAAAAAAAAAAAAAAAATTATATATATATATATATATATACATATATATATATATATATATTTCAGTTAGTTGCCAATGAAAGAACTTAAAATATAATTAAAGTGAAAACTAAAAATAAAAAAATATAAAATATAAAAACAAAAGATAATTCAAAATATTAATGAATACTATAATAACACTACAATACAACAGTTAAGGCAAATTTCTGATTTTGAAGCAATAAAGTCAAAGTACTAAAATTACTAAAACTGAAATAAAAATAAATTAAAGCTAAATAGAAAATGTAAATAAAAGACAAAAAGGACATAACAAAATTACTAAAATTCAAAAACCTACACTTAAATGAAAATGAAAACTAAAAATAAAATCTAATTCAAAATATTCATAAATGCTATAATAAATAATATTAAAGTAACAGGAAAAGAAGAGTTAAAGGTTGATATTGATATTGGGTTTTTGGGTTGATATTGCTTCCAGTTCGTTTGTTACACTGGAAATGGATGGTCAGGATGGGCACATTGCATTGTGGGAATTTGAGTAGTTTTTGAGTGTCCTTGATTGTTCTGGTACTAGTTAAATGATTCTGCAATTTCTTCTCTTTTATATTAATAAAAAGCAGTGTTTAATTTAGGTTACACTGTAAAAAATAAGTGTAAATTTAACTGTAAAATTTTGTAAATACGCTATGGAAAAAACTGTTAATAGATTAACAGTAAGTTCCCGTACTATATACAGGGAAAAACTGTAAAATATCTAACCAGACATTTCATGTAATTTTACAGTAAAATGCTGTTAATTTTACAGTTTTAGAAGTAAAAATAATAAATCAATGTATAATTTACAGTCAAAAACTGTAAACTGATATTCCCAGAATTCACTGCATGACATTCCACATTTGAAAGTATTTTGTTTAAATAATCATGTTTTTTTTAATAGTATTTGTTATTAGTTATGTATATTTGGGCTTTATGTTACATCTTCTGTTGTTTAATGAAAGTTTAATGCATTATTTAAGTATCATGATGGTGTTTTGTGTTTGCATGAATGACTCTGTGCACCTTCTATATATTAGTATATACTTCTGCTTGTGGTGAAGCTGCTTGTGATGAGCTTTGATTCTTCATGTGGCTTTCTCTTTTACCACCTGCATTATTATGGTGGTTGTCAGTATGTTAAAGGTACAAAACAGATTTTAATAGCAGTGTCCATTGTTAAATTTACTGGTTTACATTAAAATTTTCTTGTTTGTAAATTACAGTTTTATACTGTAAAAAGTACAGTTTTTGGCCGTAAATGTGTTTACAGTTTTTCTGTATTTTTTTACAGTGTATTACATCACAGTTGCTGATATCGGCACTTTTTCTCACTACAAACATTTAAAAAGAAATGCACTTATCAGTGATACGGCCTGGTGGCCAACGCATGGGCAACCTAGAGTTCCAGACTTGATAAAATCTCTGATAACAGCTTCTACTTCATGTTATTAATGCAATGCAGAAAGCACATTCTCATTGTAATTACTCTAAACACAAACAGAATGTGAATCGAACGCTTCAACCCCTATTGTTTCAGAAGTGTGTTTGGCATTTAGGTGTTAGGTGTTCCCTCAGGGAACATTCCAGAATATGGATGATGAACATGGCTAGGACACACAGATGCTGTTGCCAGGATAACAGGAGCTGATCCGTCACCCTAGACTTATGTGTCAACAACAATGGTGTCTTGCAACTGGTGCTGTGTCTCTATCTGATGCATTGATTACTGAATCAAGTTAACCTTTGCCCAATAAATATGGCAATAATTAGAATAGTTTTTTTTTTGCTTTTCTTATTATTGTTCAAATATCAGCCAATCAAGTATTTTTGAGCTGAATCAGGTCTTAATCTGTGAAGTGACAATAAGTTACATACATAAAAAAATAAAATTTTCAATAAAAAATGTTAATAAAAAATACAAAAACTGCATCAACATCATAATAATTATAAAATACACACTTAATAAAGATTAATGCATTATTAAAAACTACAAGAACAACCATATGAATTTCATTTAATTTTACCCAATTAATATGCCAATAGTTTAGTTTTTTCCCTTTAAATATCAATACTTTTTAGCCAATCAATCATTTAGGTTTGAATATGACAAAGAAAAAATTATAAAGAAAAATAAGGATCTAAAATCCTGAAATACAGTTAGATCAATAAAAATAAAAACTGAATCAGGTCTTAACCCATGCATTTCAAAAACTGATTTGCAATATTATTAAGAAAAACAACAACAATGACAACAAGAGTAATAATAATAATAGATTTAACCTATTTTAAAAACTTGTTTTAACCCACGCATTTAAAAATATGATTTACAATATTGGCGATGATGATAACAAGAAAAAGAAGAATGTTTAACCTCAACATTTTTTTGTTTTAAATCATGCATTCCAAAAATCGATGTGCAATATTGATGATGATGTTAACAACTACAATATATTTCAACATCGAAAATTGATTTGTAATATAAATATTAATTATTGATATTAATATAAAAATATAACAATAATCATTTACAGTTGCATAAGAGTTAAGCCATATGAATTTAATTTCATTTTACTTTGAATTAAGTTTTATTTGACATTTTAATCTGAATTACAATGACTGTATCCTGCATGCTCAGTTCCAATTCAATTCAAATGGAGGATTTCAGTTGGAACTTGAAGGCACCCAGCATTTAATTCTGAATCTCACACAAGCCTGCTGTGCATGCTGGTAATGGATTAGTAGCCTAAAGCAGTGTAGAAGGATCAATCAATGAAACTGAGTGGAGTGGGATTGAACAGTGGACTGTGGACAGAGGTGATGGGAGAGCATGTGCATATCTCACTAGCTTTGAGCAGGATCTCTGTGGCCTGCTGTTGCACTCTGTCTCTGGATGCCTCCAGCTCACACTCCGCCTCCCTCTGCCTGATTTCCACGATCTCCGTGTCCTTAGTCACCTCCTCCAACTGTTTATGCAGCTCCTGCAGACACACATACAAATCAATCAAAAAAATGACCAAAACACTTGACATAAACCTCTCTATCTCTCTGTTCATTACTCTATATTTAACCATCATGTGGTTTCTTGCTTTGTCTCTCTCTCGTCCTCTCATGTCACGCTTTCCATTTTTGCTCCTCTCACACTGTCTCCTCTGTTCTCAAATTCATCCTCATTAATTGTGCATGTACACATTAGCTCTTGCTCCCTTTCATCTCTGCTCTGTCTGTCAATTTCCTCCGTCGCTTTCTAAAAGAAATTCTCTCGGCTTCCATCGCTCATTGTCTTTCAAACTTTTTCCTTCACTTCCACCATTGTGGAGCTCATGTTCAAATCCTCGACTTTTCCACTGAATGAATTCATATGATGTATTTTCTTCTTCTATAACAAAGACAGCAGAAAGGGAAAGAAACGGACCGCTTGTATGAAAATTTCAGCATTGTAATGCTACATACAGTGTCTTTTTGGTAGAACGAACATGCACAACATTGTTGCCAGATTTTATTACTGATTTCAAATTTACTATTGAAACATAATCTTGAAGTTTTGGAGATTTAGGTCTTTGCCCATTCAAGCACATACTCAAAAAAACCCTCAAAAAACACTGCCTGGGGATATACTAAGAAGGCGACTGCATGAATTGTTTTGCCTAACAATAACTTTTTCTTTATTAAGATTATAACTTGAATGGTTAAGTTTTAGCAGTATCATAACTGGATGGTTTTATTGGTGCAGTGAGAGTGTTATATGAACTTAGATATTCAATATTCATTAAATAATGCACATTTAGGTGCACGGTTCACAAGAGAGTAGTATGCAATTTTAAGTAGGATTCAGTACGCTTCTCTGTCTGTCTGTCTATCTCTATCATATGGACAAAAGTATTGGGACATACCTCTTAATTACTGAATTCAGGTTTATTACAATTGTAAACTTAAGTCCTTAAACTTAAGTTAACTCAAGTTCCTGTTGGTATAATGGTCCAGTGTCCCAATACTTTTGCCCATCCATCCATTTAGTATACCATTTAAAAGTTTGGGGTCAGTAAGATAAAAAAAGAAAAGAAATTAATACTTTTAGTTTTACTATTCAGCAAGTATGCATTAAATTATTCAAATCCATTTATTAAATTCAATTAAATATAATTAAAATAATAAATTAATAAAAATATAATTAATAAAAACTCAAAGGTCTTCACAGCAACCACAACAAAACAACAAAAAACATTCAGTTCAACTTGAAGAAACTGTGACAGAAATATATTACTGAATGTAATGATAGTACTACTACTACTAATAATAAAATCATTATTAAAACATTATTTTCAAGGAATATTTACCAGGAAAAAATATTTACCAGAATTTATTTACCAGAAAAATGTAAACATTTCACGCTCTGAAAAAAAATTATAAAAAAAATACAAATAATAATATTTTTTTTAATAAAATCAATTATTTAGAGATGCTTTTGATTATTAAAATTTAAATGAAACCATTAAAATGGAATCCAGAAAATGAATGGAAAAAAATTTGGTAAAAATAAAACTGAATTTGAGAAAAAACATATTTCATAGAGCCTTAACAATGTAATTTTTGTTAAACTTTGAATAAATCGCTGTTAAATTGTGTGAGTTTCATGATTTCAATTAATTAGACATGCTTTTTGAATAATAAAATTTAACTTTACCATTAAAACAGAGTCTAAAAAACAACAACAACAACAAAAAAACTGAATTTGGAAAAAATAAAACAGATTTTATAGGGCCCTAATAATGTTACAAAAGATTTCTGTTTCATATAAATCATGTTCATTTGGACTTTCTATTCATTAAAGAATCCTGAAAAAAATAGGTTTCTGCAAAAAAAGCTGTTTTCAACATTGATAATAATCAATTCAACATTTCAAGCACAACTGTTTTCATCATTGATAATATTGAGAAATGTTTCTTGAGCACCGAATCAGGATATTAGAATGATTTCTGAAAGTTCATTTTACACTAAATTCCATTTAAAAAAATGTAAATACTTTAATACTTTAAATTGTTCTAATATTCTTGTATTATAGTAAAATAGCATTGCTTTTAGCATTGTATTCGTAATTGTATTTTTTGAAGGAATGTCTGGTGCTATACTAAAAATGCCCTTGTAAAATGAGCTGTGAAATCTTTTAATAAGGTGACAAGAGTCTCATCTGGAAACAGCACCATGCAGTTGGGTGAAAATCAGCACCTGGGCAATCTAAATGTCTTTGATTGAAGCGTGTCTGATTTACAAAACTGTGACTGCAGGCTATTTGACCTCAGATATTTGGGGTTTGAATTCAATGATTTCACCTCTTAATGCTTTTTGTTTACACTAAATGCTCCAAGAGATGTGACGTTGATCCTGCAAACATCTCTTACCTGAGAAATTCAGCATTTGATCAGCAAAGATTAAGAAAAACGAGCACAGACCCCAGGGATTCGGATCATTATGAGTTCCAGTCTGAAAATGTCACAGTGACTAAAGATCGATTGCATTAAAGATCTGCTCTGTGTGTGTGTGTGTGTTGAGCTAAAGAGGCTCAGCACATTGCCATTAAATAGTCATTATAATGTGTCATAAAAGCTTAAGACAAACATAATATTAAACTGGCCATCATTGTTCATTTGAACGGCCATATTATAAATCAAGCCAAGCATGTATCTTTTGATGACACTCATAAATTACATTTCGTCAGTTCCTCCATTCAGAAACAAGTCCCAGAAATGCCTTGGAGGGCCATGCTGGCTGACTGGGTTTTTTTCTTCAAAGATATTTGAAAGACAATTCAGAGTTCAGGATGTGTGCCACTGCGTTTGAAGTCTCTACTGTAAATGTGCCTGACATATCTGATGAGTTCAGAATGAAACCAAAACACCAGTCTGACATTCACTGCTACAATGCGTATGCCATTTTAATGATTTAAAATACACTGCAGAGGGTTAAAGAAATACTGTATTTGCTCTAACATGTGTTTGTAAATGACTTATAAATGAAACTTTTTTTATTGATATTAAACAGCATTTGTAACCCATTTTCGTACCATGATGTAATGCAATTTAAACAAGATATTCAACAAGAAAAAGCATGTATGGCAGTTAATTAAAAATGAGACCAGCGGCCAGGAACGTGTTAGGAAATGAGCTGGGAATTTAGCTGTCATTCGAACTATTAAGATTAGATGATTCTCATTAGATCTATAAGAAAATGAGATTAAACATGCAACATACGATTTAAGCATCAATACATTTACTAATAAAAGTGAAATTCGGCACAAAGCCAATCAGAGTTTAATAAAAAATTAATTCAATAATTTAAAGTTAAGTTAAGTTAAGTTGTTGAACTGAATTGAACTGAACTGAACTGAATTGATAGTCCGCTAAATAATGTATGGAAAAACACAATGGAAGTCACTGTGGTTACAAACTGTCTTCAATATATCCTCTAAATATCAAATGTTGCTAACACTTCTATTTATAGACCAGTTCTCACTATTAACTAGTTACTTATTAGCATGCGTATCATATTGGCTGTTTATTAGTACTTTTTTATTAGTACAAAATTCATAGTTAATAGTCAATTAACAGTGAGAATTGGCCCCCAAACCAAAGTGGGACCAGAAAGTAATACCAGGGTGAATAGAAGTAATAGAAGGTGAGTAAATGACAGAATTTAAATTTTTGGGTGAACAATACCATTAAATCATTTTTATTTATTTAATTAAAATTGACAAGAGTCTCATCTGGAAACAGCACCATGCAGTTGGGTGAAAATCAGCACCTGGGCAATCTAAATGTCTTTGATTGAAGCGTGTCTGATTTACAAAACTGTGACTGCAGGCTATTTGACCTCAGATATTTGGGGTTTGAATTCAATGATTTCACCTCTTAATGCTTTTTGTTTACACTAAATGCTCCAAGAGATGTGACGTTGATCCTGCAAACATCTCTTACCTGAGAAATTCAGCATTTGATCAGCAAAGATTAACAAAAACTAGCACAGACCCCAGGGAGACAGATCATTATGAGCGCCAGTCTGAAAATGTCACAGTGACTAAAGATCGATTGCATTAAAGATCTGCTCTGTGTGTGTGTGTGTGTGTTGAGCTAAAGAGGCTCAGCACATTGCCATTAAATAGTCATTATAATGTGTCATAAAAGCTTAAGACAAACATAATATTAAACTGGCCATCATTGTTCATTTGAACGGCCATATTATAAATCAAGCCAAGCATGTATCTTTTGATGACACTCATAAATTACATTTCGTCAGTTCCTCCATTCAGAAACAAGTCCCAGAAATGCCTTGGAGGGCCATGCTGGCTGACTGGGTTTTTTTCTTCAAAGATATTTGAAAGACAATTCAGAGTTCAGGATGTGTGCCACTGCGTTTGAAGTCTCTACTGTAAATGTGCCTGACATATCTGATGAGTTCAGAATGAAACCAAAACACCAGTCTGACATTCACTGCTACAATGCGTATGCCATTTTAATGATTTAAAATACACTGCAGAGGGTTAAAGAAATACTGTATTTGTTCTAACATGTGTTTGTAAATGACTTATAAATGAAACTTTTTTTATTGATATTAAACAGCATTTGTAACCCATTTTCGTACCATGATGTAATGCAATTTAAACAAGATATTCAACAAGAAAAAGCATGTATGGCAGTTAATTAAAAATGAGACCAGCGGCCAGGAACGTGTTAGGAAATGAGCTGGGAATTTAGCTGTCATTTGAACTATTAAGATTAGATGATTCTCATTAGATCTATAAGAAAATGAGATTAAACATGCAACATACGATTTAAGCATCAATACATTTACTAATAAAAGTGAAATTCGGCACAAAGCCAATCAGAGTTTAATAAAAAATTAATTCAATAATTTAAAGTTAAGTTAAGTTAAGTTGTTGAACTGAATTGAACTGAACTGAACTGAATTGATAGTCCGCTAAATAATGTATGGAAAAACACAATGGAAGTCACTGTGGTTACAAACTGTCTTCAATATATCCTCTAAATATCAAATGTTGCTAACACTTCTATTTATAGACCAGTTCTCACTATTAACTAGTTACTTATTAGCATGCGTATCATATTGGCTGTTTATTAGTACTTTTTTATTAGTACAAAATTCATAGTTAATAGTCAATTAACAGTGAGAATTGGCCCCCAAACCAAAGTGGGACCAGAAAGTAATACCAGGGTGAATAGAAGTAATAGAAGGTGAGTAAATGACAGAATTTAAATTTTTGGGTGAACAATACCATTAAATCATTTTTATTTATTTAATTAAAATTAAATATTTAATCATTTTTATTTATTTAATTAAAATTTTTTTTTTTTTTTTAATTTAATTTAATTTAATTTGCTTTTTTACAATATACATTGTTCTAAAACAGCTTTACTGCCATAAAAAATGGAAAAATAAATAAATGAAATAAAATCAAGAAGATAAAAGGAAAAGACAAAAGAGTCATATAAAGTGCTATGTTGTATCGAACCCCTATCATTTTATTTCAAAGGACATGTGATGCATCTGGTGGTTTACCTTGATGTTGTTCTCCGCAGCAATGAGAGAGGCCTGCATTTTGTGGGATTTCTCCCTGCTCTCCCTGGCCTCCTCCTGCACCCGCTGCAGTTCGCTGCGCAGCTTCCCCAGAGTCTTCTGCAGCGCCGCTTCCTGCATCTGGAACTCCTTCCTCAGCTCTGCTTCGGTCTTCTTCCAGGCCAGCAGGTTCTCTGCGGTCATCTGCTGCGTGCGCTTCATGGCCTCCAGTTCCCGTTCGTAGAAGGCCTGGGCTTTATTTAGCTTGGCCTCGTACTCCTCCACCAGACGCTTCTTGTCCTGTTTCAGTTCCTCGACCCTTTCAGTCAGTGAATCCACCTCTGCTTTATGAAGCTGTCCCAGTTTCTCCTGGTCTTTGCTGTAGTTGGCATTCTGGCTTTGGTGTGAACGAAGCAAATCTTGAACCTGTAAAAGCAACATGCATTCAAGTGTTTTTTTTTATAGTGGATACAAACCACTTGCTGCTTACCAAACAGCGACAAGCAATTTGACAGTTCAAACTGAATATGAAAATGCAACAGAGCATGACACATTTACATTTACAACAATCAGATGTTATCTTATGTTTAATGTACAGTAATCAGGACAGGATTTTGAAAAACATCATTATTGCTTTATTAATGCAGTGTAGCCTTGTGATTTAAAATCAATCCTCTAAATATCAAATGTTGCTCACACTTCTATTTATAGACCAGTTCTCACTATTAACTAGTTACTTATTAGCATGCGTATCATATTGGCTGTTTATTAGTACTTTTTTATTAGTACAAAATTCATAGTTAATAGTCAATTAACAGTGAGAATTGGCCCCCAAACCAAAGTGGGACCAGAAAGTAATACCAGGGTGAGTAAATGATGACAGAATTTAAATTTTTGGGTGAACAATACCATTAAATCATTTTTATTTATTTAATTAAAATTAAATATTTAATCATTTTTATTTATTTAATTAAATTTTTTTTTACATTTAATTTAATTTAATTTGCTTTTTTACAATATACATTGTTCTAAAACAGCTTTACTGCCATAAAAAATGGAAAAATAAATAAATGAAATAAAATCAAGACGATAAAAGGAAAAGACAAAAGAGTCATATAAAGTGCTATGTTGTATCGAACCCCTATCATTTTATTTCAAAGGACATGTGATGCATCTGGTGGTTTACCTTGATGTTGTTCTCCGCAGCAATGAGAGAGGCCTGCATTTTGTGGGATTTCTCCCTGCTCTCCCTGGCCTCCTCCTGCACCCGCTGCAGTTCGCTGCGCAGCTTCCCCAGAGTCTTCTGCAGCGCCGCTTCCTGCATCTGGAACTCCTTCCTCAGCTCTGCTTCGGTCTTCTTCCAGGCCAGCAGGTTCTCTGCGGTCATCTGCTGCGTGCGCTTCATGGCCTCCAGTTCCCGTTCGTAGAAGGCCTGGGCTTTATTTAGCTTGGCCTCGTACTCCTCCACCAGACGCTTCTTGTCCTGTTTCAGTTCCTCGACCCTTTCAGTCAGTGAATCCACCTCTGCTTTATGAAGCTGTCCCAGTTTCTCCTGGTCTTTGCTGTAGTTGGCATTCTGGCTTTGGTGTGAACGAAGCAAATCTTGAACCTGTAAAAGCAACATGCATTCAAGTGTTTTTTTTTATAGTGGATACAAACCACTTGCTGCTTACCAAACAGCGACAAACAATTTGACAGTTCAAACTGAATATGAAAATGCAGAGCATGACACATTTACATTTACAACAATCAGATGTTATCTTATGTTTAATGTACAGTAATCAGGACAGGATTTTGAAAAACATCATTATTGCTTTATTAATGCAGTGTAGCCTTGTGATTTAAAATCAAAGCTGGCAAACTAATGGTTCAAACCCCACAAGGGTCAGTTTATGAACTCTGGCCAGTGACCTTGACCCAAGGTTGCTCCAGAGGAACTGTCCCTGTAAAAATTGGTGTGTGTGTGCGTGTGTGTTTATATATATATATGTATATAATTAATATTAAATGATAGTAAAACTATGTTCAGAAAAAAATACAAAAATATAATAATAATTATTATTTTAATTAAAGTTTGGAATTTTTTCAGGTAAATTAACTTAATATACTTCTATAGTGCTTTTTCAAAGCTCAAAGTCACTTTACAATCATCCAGATTAATCAATCTGATATGTGGCCTAAAATAGGAATGTGAGTTTTTCATTTCACACATTTTTTTATCACATGGCTATAAAATATGATTTATTTGTGTTTAGTCCACCTCTTAAATTCAGCAAAAAAATCTATATTTTCAAGGCAACAGTGAATTTAATGAGCATGAGCACAGATTCAGCTGTTTGAATGACTGGTTAGTCCCTAAAACATCAGCAAGCCTGACTTTGATGGTTTTCCATTAAAATATGAGTTTGATTTAATTGAAAAATTAGGAAATTAAGACAGCCATAAATATTAAGCTTGCATGTTAAAGTATTACATATTTAGTTCAAACATTTAAGTTGATTAATTCTAAGTTTACAGTTGTATTATTGTTTTATTATTATTATTTTTTCATTTTACAGTGAAACATTACAGTAGTAATATTTTGATTTGATTTAGTAATTGTTAAATTACTAACAATAATTTACTAACAATTGATTTTTTTAAATTGCATTTTAAATCAGAAAAATTACAATGAGATTTTTGTCCCTAAATCATGCAGCCCTAGGACAGACATACATTTTCATTTTACAGTGAAACATTACAGTAGTAATATTTTGATTTGATTTAGTAATTGTTAAATTACTAACAATAATTTACTAACAATTGATTTTTTTAAATTGCATTTTAAATCAGAAAAATTACAATGAGATTTTTGTCCCTAAATCATGCAGCCCTAGGACAGACATACATTATTATATGTACCATAGGTGAATAAAGTAAAAAACACTCGACACACCTCCTGCCGATGTCCAGCACGTAGCTCCTCAAGAGCCTGCTGTTTCTCCTGCTCAAACTGGGCCTGCAACTGTCCAAAGGAGCGGAGCTTCTCCTCGAAAGAGCGTCGCATTTCCTCCACCTCTCGGGACATGGTGACCACGCGCTGCGTGTGCTGTGCCTCCGTGCACAGCTGCATGTCCTCCACCCGCTGGCGGTACGTCTCGAACTCTGCCAGGGCCTGGCGCTTCATCCGCTCGTGCAGCTCCATGGACTCCTCCAGAGACTGAATGCGCCGCTTCAAGTCCATCTCATCACTGATCTTGCTCTTGTACTGCATGATCTTCTCCCGCGTTTCCGAGAGGATCTGCTGCACCTCCTCCTCGTGGGCTTCCTTCAGGGTCTGGATGGCCGCTTCGTGCTCGTCGTTCTTGGTGTTGAGGGCATAGATCACCTGGACATGCGAAAGGAGAAATAGTTGAATCATCTTCTAGAACCTTCTAGGCAACAGAACCTGTGCTTGCTCAGTCCATGACAGCTTAAAAAGTTGAGAAATTCCACGGAACAAGCTTAAAGTTAAAGGTTAAGTAAACACTGTTTAGCTGATCTAGAGCTTTTGTGCTCAATGCATTACACATGTAAAGCCACTCAATGAACCGAGACACATTAGCAAGCTTTCACTGACTGACCTTTAAACCAGAAGATTTATGTCCAGCTCAAATATGGGAAAGGTTTACCATTATACTTTGAGATGTTATACTTATAGGGTAGCAACTTATTTACAACAAAACTTTTCTGTTTCTCGCTATACGTATTCTGTAGTGGCTGTAAAGTGTACAATGGACATCAAGTGACCACAAAAAGTACCAAAACTGCACATAAAAGTACAAATATGCTTGACAATTTGTGAAAAATATTAGCATGCCATAAGCTGAAGCTGCACAGAAATGAACAATTGGTTACACTTTACTTGAAGGGGTGTGCATAAGACTGACATGACACCTTCATAATCATGACATGACACCTACATAATCATGACATGACACATGTCTTGAATATGAAGGGTTTTTATGCATGTTTATGACAACTGTCATTAAGTGTCATTCGCTCAGTTATGT